AGTGAAAATCTCTCAAAAAAAAAAAAATTTGCTTGGATGGGGGCCAGCAGGTGACATAGTGGTTAAGGCGCTAGACTCCCACATGACCGACCGTAGTTCAAGTTCCGGAACTACCCCCAAAACTCACATCAGGCTCATGTGCATTCATGCCCAAAGTTCTGAGAAGAGAATAGAGGAGAAGGGATTGTGGCATGGCCATTCACCCTGGGTGGTGAGTTTTTACTTTCTCTCTCTGTTTCTCTGGCAAGCACATGCACCCTATGGCAAAATTCTCTCTTAAAAAAATAAATTTTTTTTGCTTAAATTGTCTCACACAAACAGAATAAAAAAGTGTCACTATGTAAGATAATAGATACCTTAACTAACTTGATTGTGGTAATTATTTCACAAAAGGCACATACTCTCCCCCACACACAAGAAAAGAAAGTGAAACAAAACAAACGAGTAGAACTATTATCAGAGGCGCACAATGTAATGTAATGTTCAACGTCAAATAAGAAGAGTTGTTCATATCCCTGTTGTGTTGGTTGCACACTGTAAGTAAGCACGCTACGGAAACCGTACTGTACCCCACAAAGTGCACAATTAGTATATGCAAACCAGAAATCACAATTTCAGAAAGAGAGAATAACACACGTCTCAAATCATTACTCAGTACTTCTGAAAACCAAATCATCTGGCCCGGCCTAAGTGGCATGGTCAATAGCAAACCGGACTGCAATGCTGGAACCCACATGGCTGACTGCAGGTTCGGACCCCTGGGTTAGCTTGAAATCATGCCAAGTGACTGCGTGGACACCCAAAGTCCTAAAGAGAGGAAGGGCTGAGGATAGGGGCACGCAGAGTGAAGACAGCCTGTCGGGAGTGTTTCTCTTTCTCTCTCTCTCTCTCTCTCATCTACACATACTCTTTATCATGAAAAGAATTGTATTATTTTATCAATTAAAGTTGAACGAATCCAGGAAATTAAAAATCTAAAGAGGCAACGGTGGTGAGTCTTTAGCAGAGACATCAGGTTTATGATGTGATGTGGTAGAGTTTCATGTTCGTCTCCTTCCTACTTAACTGTCTGTCCTTGTCTTTATTTTCTTCTTCTCTGTACTACCTACTACTAAATTCTCATGTGCTTCTGTATCCTACCTATTTTTAGAAGCCAGCTTCATGCCTTTCTAGAACAAGAAGGAATATAATTTAATAAACAAATTCTATTAATTAAAGTGTTGAGGGCCTTTCTATGCCAAGAATTATGCCAAGTACCAGGGCTAGAAAGAGAAGAACTCTTTATTTTCTTCTTCTCTGTACTACCTACTACTAAATTCTCATGTGCTTCTGTATCCTACCTATTTTTAGAAGCCAGCTTCATGCCTTTCTAGAACAAGAAGGAATATAATTTAATAAACAAATTCTATTAATTAAAGTGTTGAGGGCCTTTCTATGCCAAGAATTATGCCAAGTACCAGGGCTAGAAAGAGAAGAACCCAGCATAGAAATGAACGTAAACTTACGGGGACAGGATTCCTGGGGATGGTGGAGCACAGGGCAGCCCCCCTCTGGGGAACAGGGAAAGA